ATTATTATTATTATTATTGGCTTCATTTATTTTTCTGTGAAGGATGGAAATGAGAATAAAAAGATAAAGCAAGTAAGAAAATGTGTGGATGCTCTATACCTACAGAATGTGAAAATATTTTAAAAGGGGTAGTAATTTATCGCTCTTAGTTATCTTAATCTACTTTGTAGTGAATTAGTTTGTTGGTATTTCTCTGATTTGATTGTTACATTTGTTCATTTACTTTTTGTATTTCTCTAGATAATGCAATGACAAAAAAGGTCCAAATAGCTTTTTTTCTGGATATTAAGAGCAACACAGTCAGAAGCGTTCAGTTTTGGTTCTGCAATTTTTCTGTGTTGTGCTATGTCAAGACTTAAGGAAAGTCAGCTCTTGAAGCTTTCTTTCAACTTGTTCATTGCTCACTAAACATAAAATATATTGTTGAAGTGGTTAAAAAACATAGAATTTATTTACTAATGGATGTAGTTCTATACTAAAAAAATCATCTTCCTGCATTCTCAAAGTGTAATCAGGGCTTGATGAGCTTTTGATTAAATTTATGTACTGCGTATATCAGGATGATACTGGTAATTCTGCCTGCAATGTAAATTTTGGTCAGATTATAGAAGGGGGTGACATTTCCTGTATACGCTGCTGAAACAGACATTTTATAACAGTTGGTAAGTCCCATATCTGCTATAATTCTAAACTTACTGAAGTAGGTGTCCTTTTTCATATTCTCGAGATATAAGGTTCTTGTTCCTTTCATGTGAAACTACAATAAGTATTTCCTGTGATAAACACCTGAAACAGATTTACTTTATATTTAGAATATAAAGATCTCTCTAACTATTGTCTGTTACAAAAGGCAAAGTGAATGTACTTTATATGACTCCCTAGTGTTCCAAAGAAAAGGGGCAAGGAGTAGAGGTGTGTATACCAAGAGGTTTGTAGGATCAAGTCTGAAATAAAACCAGTGTAGTCTAGCTCTTAAATGAAACTACATGGATATCAGAGATGGATTTCAGCTCTATGCAGTTCAGATGTAACCTTGGAAATGGCAGTCGATTTCTGTGTCTGTTCCATACCTCAAATGTAGAGTCAGTTGCACTTGCAGAACTCTAAAGTATTTCAACATGTTTAGAGAAAAAAAACTAAATCCTGTATTTACTAAGAATTCCTGAAATAATTGAGAACTAATCTTACTTTGGTTTGACTTCAAAACCAAAATAAATAGCATTTCAGGACAAGTTGGAAAGCCAACATAAAACAATGTGTGAGGTATGTGGTAGTTGTATTTGCATGTTTCTGCTTCATATGTTTGTTCTTCCTTTAAGAGAATTTTCTTTAAAAATTTACAACTTGACCCATGCATGGTATAATTTTCTATTTCTGCTTTTCTTCCTCCAGAAATCTTTGTCTGTGTTGAATATCAGCAATAATAACATTGATGAATTAGAAGAACTGGCAGTTTTGGAAAATCTTTCTTATCTTAGAGCAGTTGACAATAAACTTCAACATATGAAGGTATTGAAATAAATATTTGTTCTATTTGATATGGGTGATAAGAATTTAGTCAGATTCATCTTTACCACTAAATAGATGAGTAAAAATGAACTACTACAGTTACTGAACGTCTGACTTTCCAAGCATGCTGTCTTTTCTCATCCAAAAATCTTGTTGAGATTAAAAATGGAGCACTGTTTCTCTAGGATGTCCAAATGTCCTTTAATCCTACATAAATGGCAATTGTGCATGCATCTATCAACTGAGTAGTAAATGCACAGAAGTTACAAATACAATATGATATGTCCAAAATGTTGAATTAGCATGTATGTTTTGGCCATCTGAATGACTACCAGTGGCTTAATTTGCAGAGATGATGGGGGCCGTTTTTTGTTAATGTTTGAAATATTTTTACCATATTACAGTTTTTCATTCTCTGTTTTAACATAAATAAAAGCTGCTTCTTGGATATCAGATCATCTAGCTGATTTTGCAGCCATTCTAATATCAAAATGACTTTTTGACTATTGTTGTTGGGGTAGCATAAGAAGTATTTATCATAAAGGTATACATTGAATTTCATAAATTTCTGCTAAGGAAAGACATGTCTTCATAAACTAGAGCTGTAACTTCCACAGTAGCAGCTAAAACACATGAAATAAAAATATTTATCCTATTCCTTTGCAGCAGTGAATGTGGTTCAGAGAGAATGTTCTACAGTTACAATTTCCATCTTATCTTCTCAAAAAGGAACAGGAGTATTGGCCTTGTCACTTCTCATTATTTTTATAAGCTATGAGGTCTTCTCCCTCTTTACATAAAGAGCAGTTAAAAAAATAATTTTAGTGTCATGCTAGTAACTGAATGTCAAATTTATGTTGAATAGTATGCTGACACCATCATTGCATGGGGGAGGCATGGAACAAACTTTATAAATTACTTAATAAACACTGTTTTCATTTAATATAAACATTAGGCATTAGTGTTCAGCTTTTTTTTCAAAATTATGTTTTTATTAATAAATACTAAAATGAATTGACTTAAATCGTAACCCAAATCACCAAAACAAAGCTTTGATTAAAATAAACTATTTCATTACTGGTTTGCATATACATTCTATTTCCTTAGAAAAGTAAAATTTCATTGGTTAGTAATAATTAAAATAGCTATTCTTATTACTTCTTAGAACACATAATACTTTTTACATTAAATTTGGCAGTTCTTTTTACTAATGAAGACATTCCAGTACTTTGTGCGCATAATCTAGCTATTTTCTAGGTCAATGTACTTTATTTGGACTCTTAATTTTTTACATTTTAATATTTAAAAATGTTGAATTATGGATTTCTTTTTTACTAGAGAATTATTAATGTGTTGTATTTCAAGCTGTGTTTCTGGCTGGCAGTTGTGATTGAATTTGTATTGAAATACAATTAATGTAGGATTTTGCTGGACAATTAAAACCATATTGAATGTGTTGGTTACATCCAAATAACAGTAAGCTCTTTAAATTTGAGAATGAGGATGCCAGTTGAGAGACAGCATTTTCAGTATCTCAGAGGAAAAGCCAGAATCTTCTAGAACACAATAAGGAGAGGACAAAAAGACTGTATTATTCAGTAACTGTGTATATATTATTTAATTGTTATTAAATGTCATTATCTCGTCATCAGGAAGACCAGAGTTAGTATTTACCCACATCAATTACACATTTAGATTTCCATTTTATATGGTTACAGCTTTTGAAAAATTATGTGGTTAGCATTTGAGTTTGCTGCTGCTGCTCCTACCAGTTTCACTTGGATCGAGCTCTGGTGAATTTTGAAAGTGACTGTCCTGTGCATTTTCTAAACAATCTCGAAGTTTTGAAAATATGGAGCAGACAGGGTATTTCTATTCATATCCTTGCAGACCTGTAAAATTAATGATGATGTTGAATGTGTCTAACATACAGTGAGATGCAGCTGGATATTCAACTTTCCAGCTACAATTACATTTTAGCAGGCTCTGCCTATCACTAATACAAATTCTTATTTAAATTAAAAAAACCTCCAGACTGTTGAAAAAGCAGTAGGCTATGTGAAGTATTAAAAAAAACCACAGTCAGTTTTAGCTCTATTTAAGAGGCTTTAAGTTACACTGAACGTCTAGCAGAAGAACAATTTTATACATTCACTAACTTTTTAAAAAAGAAATAGTTGAGGGAAGTTTTGAGTAAGTTTCTGCAACCCTGAATTTCATGATTCCGTGGCTTACATTGTTCCACAACTGTGACAGCCAAAAGGATTTTAGGGGATATACAACTGTACTACATACACTTAATTTCTTCTGCTGGCTGAACTTGTTAAACACAGCAAAGGCTCTTTCATTCCCACACAAACTGCCTCCATTCTCCTCCCTCTGTTTACGAAATTCTGAAGTATACCTATTCTTCACGCCAAAAGCTCTACGTCCCTGATTCTCCCATTCCTGTCTGCTTCCCCATCACTGCCATCAAGAACATCCCCAGGAATGTGTGGCATTGATCAGAGACAGTGGTGGTGCTGCAGGATGGAGAAGTGTCAGAGAGCTCTGTACCCAGCTCTGCTTCATCCAGTGGAAAGAGGAGCTGTAGAGGAGCCATCCAGGTCTTAGCAGGGCTGCTCAACAGCAGTGCTCTGCGTAGCAGAGGTAGATGG